GATCCCTTAGTAGAATCAAGGCATTGGTGACAAACTGTGCTAGTACTCATTTTATTCTTCACTGCCCTCACATGCTGTTAAAAAACTGTTGATTGAAGCAGTACATATTATTGATTTTATTAAATCTTTCCTCTGAAATCCATACTCTTTAAATATTCTGCATGAATAAAAAAATAAAGAATGCATAAAGCATTTCTGCAGTACACTGAAAGCTGATGGCAGTCCAGAGGAGAAGCCCTTTCACATGTTTTAGTTGAGAGCTGCTCTGTACACCTTTCCCTACTACACCGTGTTTCCTTGAATGACTGACAGAATGTAGTTGTTCCCACTCGGGTATCTTGTAGTATTTGTTGCAAGTGATCGAATTTTAACTTTAAACAAAAATTAGTGCTTTGGAAAAGTTGTATCCAACACTGTGAGCTTGACTACGGTGCCATAATTAAATAACTTTTTTGCTGATGTTGATGGTGATATTAACACACATGGCCTTTTTGAAATTCTGTAATGAAATGTGTTGATATTTGAGAGATATGCATAACTCAGGAAACCTTTATTTCCCAAATCCCCAGTGCATTGAGGAAATGCCACAAAGTGTCAAGAGTATCAGGATGGATAATGAAGTACGGCAAAGGGAAACCTATGAACAGGCATTGTGGAGATTAAGTAGGTATTATGAGCTAGCTTGGTCCAAGAGACAAGTGTGGGACAGGAGATGAGGTCAACATGACCAAGACTGTGACAGGTAGGAAGAACTAGGGTCCAAGGAGAGCACTCCATGTTAGAAAAATGTATATATCTGATCTGATCAGAACCAGAATAAGAGATGAGGAATAGGATTTGTGAGAAAAGCAGCCAAAGACTACTCTACCTGAATTCCTTAGGCCTTACCCACTTGTAAGTTGCATGGCAATTCTATGAACAGTTAATACCAGGATTCTACACATTGTTATCCGCATCTGTTGACTCAGAACCCAGCCCCTCTGCACAGTCCCTGCATGTATTTCTGAGCATTCTGAGATGGCCCCTATGTACTCAGCAATGAGTTCATTTTTGTGTTGGACCATTTCCCAAGATCACCTGTCTCTGTTGCTTTTCTCTTTGTTTCGATAGTACTCTCTAGTCGTTACCTCCAAGTCCTCACAGTGTTAAAGCCATGTGGTGTTAGGTGTGTGCTACCCCAAATTTAGACTCGAGTGTATCACAGAGTTCAGAAAACAGTTTCCGGTAGTTTACTTCTACATTCCCCTCTTCCTATTACCATTACTAGTATGAAGGGTGCTGAGGTGAGGATGAGTTTGAGTTAGCAGCCAATAACTCTGGTGTGTTCAGATTTATTCAGAGATGACCATTTTGGTAATAAGTTCATTTACCGTATTTGGCTGTTTCCTTGAGCATAGATTCTTTGACCGAAGCCACCTCAGCTCTCTTAGAAATACATCACTGTTGGGTAGCTTCCGCTTCTCCTTTTAAGCTTAGGTACGTGTAAACATAGCTTTATGTCTTGGGCTCCTCACATCACTGGCAAAAGGATTTCTGTCCACTCTGCCCCACTAATAGTTGTCTAGACATATTTAACACTTGGTATTGGAAAAAGACAATTTGTAAGCTGAGCTGTCTCCCAGATCTTGTTCATCTGATTTCAGCAAATGTTTGTTGGGTGTCTTTTTTGGTACCAGGTACCATGTTTGATTGTAAGAATATGGAGTTGCAAAGAATACTGTGCTCTTTAGGAGTAAGTTGATAGGACACACATACACAGAGGTAAGTGTAATGCAGCGTGACTAGTGCTGCTGTAGAGGTGTGTGCAAAGTACATTGGGAACATGGAAGAGGGAATGGTTGTATTTTCCTGGGGGCGCTTCTGTAAAAGAACGCTTTGAGCTCAGCCTTAAAGGGTGAAAAGCATTTCTTAATGTAAAGTCAGCGGTAAGAGAAATGACATTACAGAAGAGAGAACAGCAAATTTCCAAGTATGAAAGCATAAAAAGTAATTTGGGGGAACTGCACAAAGATAAGCATTAGTGTTGATGTGGAGTATTCATGGAGGGGATACCAAGCTTGACAAACATCTTTGAGTCCGATTTTAAAGGGTGTAAAAGGCTTTGTTTTTTGTTTTGAAGAGGAAAAACTAAATGATATTCCTATTCTCCTTGAAGAAAATAGTCTTAGTCATATGAAGAGGCATCAAAAAGTATGCAAAAATATAGAGAAAAGGCATTATAGAGGATTATACAAATATGTTAGGACACTGAATTGGTAAAAATACTATGAAGTTTTAAAATTTGGACTTTTTACTGTATGTGGTAAACATTGTTTTAACTTTTTACTCTGTGATAGTTGTAGATTCAAGTGTGAATTGTTAATTATAGATTCACGGAGAGATCCTGAATATCCTTCACACCATTTACTTAATTGACATCTCACCAGTTACATGCACTCTGTTGTGTGTATTTAGTTCTGTGCACTTTTATTGCGTGTATAGATTCATGTGAGCACCATTGCAGTCAGATTGAGAGCACTTCCCCCACAGAGATCCCTTGTGCTACCTAAAGGGCCTTTTTTTGACACAATAGGGAGCTTTGACTGCATTCTGTGGGTTGGTGTCTCTCAAACTGTGGCCTTTGGGTCACTCTAACAATAACCTAGTGTTCTTTTTAAATATACCAATTCCTACCATAGAAACAGTTTTCTACCCACATTCTCTGGGAATGTGGCCCTGTGACCTACATTTAAATAACACCCCCAGGTGCTCCTTGTGATGAGAACATGATGCAAACACCTGCAAGGAGGAGGTCTGGACGAGTGTCATCTAACTGTAGCATGACAGAAGGCATACATGCAATTTAAAAATTCTGGTAGCCAAATCAAAGTAAAAAGAAACAAGTGAAATGAATTGTTACAAACATGAAATTAATCTAAAATGATTGGTATTTAATGATTGGTGTTAGCTTTTTTTTCCTTCAAAGTATTCCAAATCCAGTGTGTACTTTGTACTTCACATCTCAGTTGAAATTAGCCATATTTGAAGTGCTCAGTAATACACCTGATTAGTGGCTACCGTATAGGGTAGCGCAGACCTAGACAACAAACAGTCACTACAAAGGCCGTGAGAGAGATTCATACAGAGATGTGCAGTTGACATCTGGAAATTGAAGTTACTGCTCTAGAGCTTTGGAATAAGATAAACATTAGATATATAGATTTATAAATCATAGATGGAAGAGTTGTGACACTGTAATTTTCAGTAATTCTCAACAAAGACTTATTAGACTCACCTACAGGGTTTTTTCTAACTGCATACTTGCACCCCAAGAAAGCATGGAACATCTTGACACTTGGAGAAAAGGGTGGAAAAATAGGGAGGCATGTGCATCTCAAGGAGAGGAGGAACATAGATAGGGAGTTTCTCCATCGTTGATTCTGATAGGGCCCCTCCCTGCTGTCTCCACTCCTGGCTGAGAACCACTGGTGTTTAAAAAGGGAGATGAGGATTTAAGACACTGAGAAGGATCTAGAGTGAAGAAAGGAGTGCCAAAGAAGTAAAGGAGAGGGTTTCAACAACGGAAAAGGCAGGAGGAGATGAGACATTTGCAAATACTGTATTCTTAAGATTGTTGAGGACCTAGAGTAGTCAACTGGACTAAGATGGTCTGTGCGGTTGTTGGTGGAGACAGAACTGGATCTAGCTACCTGAAGGTTGGAGGAGCTAGATTGGCTGTAAGAGGGTCATGCTGTGCCCTCCCAGGCAGTTCCTTAAATCCTTTCAGTTTGGTGAAAGTGTATCAGAATTCTCTCTTTTATAGTCCTTAAGTCTTGCAGTTTAGCTAATTGTTTGTATAATACGTGTCTATCTTCACCCTGACCATAGGATCTGACCATAGGATCACCCTGACCATAGGACCACCCTGACTGTAGGATCCCTTGGGGAACTTTACCCACTCCTAACTCCCTCCCCATGTCCTAATAAGTCAAAATTTCTATGACTGGGGCGTAGGCATCATTTTTTAAAGTTTCCCAAGTGATTATAATGAGCTATAGTAGAAAACTGTTCGTTACTTTGATCAGTTTTCTACCCAGTGAGTACATTTGTGACAGAAAATAAGTTTTACTCAACTTCTTGTCCCCAGAGTTTGTGTGGCATTTGGTTAGCTGTCAGGAAATGTTGAAGAATGAATGAAAAATGAAAGAGCTAACAAATGAGGAAATGTGGCCAGGGAACTAGTCAGTCCCTTGTGGATACCTTAATAAATAACATTTCCTTTCTTTCTAACGAATAGTTACCAGGCCCGTTATTAATTATACTGCACATATTTTGGAATTATTAGTGTGAAATTGTTCTGCCAAATTGCTCTAATTTACAGTATTTACATAAAATCTCAGGTATAAAAATAAGACTACAAAGTTGGTTAGGGTGATTCTCCAAGTTTTTTTGTTTGACTACATATACCACAAGATGTAGTATAATAACTGTTCCACTGAGTACAATATTTAAGAGAAATTACTGCATTTAGGATAAAGAATTTTTACCATCAATTTAAAGAAAGTACTTACTATTACCATATAATTAACTACAACTCAAATTCTATTATGTTTAAAATTTAATGCTGTGGTTATTTAAACTTCCTATTTAGAAGAATATTTGTAGTTCTTTGTTATGGCTCTTCTAAGGCCACTGCAGTAACTTATTTAATTGATCCTTTAGCAGTTGCTTTTTATGACTTTTAGTGAGAGAAAGATGGAAAGAAAAAGACATAAAATGTTCTGCAAAAATAAAATAAGCTGGTAGTCACTAACAAAATTCATCATCATCATAATTGAATTTTCAATCCAGGACATAGTTTATAGAGTGTCCCTAGCCCAAGACCTGGTAGTAGGTACCTCAGTAAATAAGAATTATTTTTCTTCTGCTCCACATGTAGCTGATGTGGTGGTAAGGGTTTAGAAACTCAAGTTTATTCTGACACAGTTCAGCATTGAAAAAATGCATTCATTTTCCCACAGATGAAAAGAAATGAAGAATTGATAACTAAAAATCACAATCAAGAAGACATAAGTATTCTTCGTTGTTGGAAATGTAGAAAATGTATAGCAAGTTCTGGTTGTTTAATGAGATATCTTGAGAATCAAGTGATTACGGTGAGTACTCCAAACTTCAAACTATTTCCTAGTATACAAATGCCGTGAGCACGCCCACAGGTGCACACCTATCCCTTAACACCTGGCTTAACTTCTTTTATGTTCTTTTACCTCACCACTGAAAACATTTTCAAAGTGCTATTCAGAAGGCTTCCCATCTTCCACAGTTAAAATTAATTTTATTTTTAGCTGCTGACATTAACATGCCCTTAAAATTTTAAGTGCAGTATCTAGATGTAAGTTGAAGATAATAGTCAGTGTTTTTCTTATTCCCACTATGAATGAACATTAGTCATCAACACAAAATTAAATTCAAGATCCTAGTGAGAAATGGAAAACTTATTTTATTGTGTGTGTATATATATAGTGTGTATATAAAATAAAATAAGTTTTATATATATATAACTGTGTATATAGTGTATATATATGTACACACATACACACACGCATACACACACATACACACACGTGTGTGTGTGTATCCGTGTGTGTATGTATTTAATATTCAGTATGGGCCTAGGAAGTTCATGTATAATTCAGAGTCAGTAGGAAAACCTGAATAATATTTAAAAGCATTTAACTGGTCGTCCTGGCAAAAATAAAGGCTTTTTAAGCAACAAAACTAAAAGCCCTAGACTTCTCTAAGAGCATTATGAAAGAAGTGCAAACTAGATCATAATCCATAGACTTTATAGGAAGTTCTCCTTTCAACAAAGAGAGTGGCTGTAATCACCTGTCATTATTCACTTCTCCTTCTTCAAGAGATACTCAGGTTTTGGTTTTTGTTAGTTTGTTTTCTTTTTTCTTTCTTTCTTCTTCTTTTTTTTTTTTTTTTTTTTTTTTTGCCTCAGCCATGTGTGATTATGATTATTTCCTCATAAGTCTAACAAATTAGCCAACTGGAACTGATAATAGTAGACCATTTTGGTTTACATACTTAACTACATAACAGATCCTTTTTAAAAACTGACAAAGCATTTTAATTGGGAAAGAAAAACTGGTCATGCCAAGAGTATTCTGTTGGGTATAATTTACCTAGAGTAAAAAAAATTAAGTATGCAGCTTCATAAATTTTTTCAGTCCTGCCATGAATCAGATCAAGGTCTACATTTCCATCATTCCAGAAAGTTCTCTTGCCCTTTTCCAGCCAATTCTCTCCTCTCCTTCTCACAGTACAATTACTATTTTGATGTTTATCACCATAGATAGTTTTGCTTGTTCTTAACCTTGATTCATTCACATAGAATCAGACAGTATGTATTCTTTTGTACCTGACTTATTTTGTTCGGCATAATGTTTTAGACATTCATTCGTGTTTTGTGTTTGTAGTTTGTTGTTATTGTTTTTTACTGAGTATATGCTATTGATGAATATACCACAATTTATTATTTTTTTCTGTGAATGGGCATTTGAATTTTTAGTTTTGGGTTATGAATAAAACTGTCAGATTTTTGTAAAAAACTTTCTGTGCTTGTGTTTGATGTATTTTCTGGTGTATATGTAGGAATGAATTCTGGGGGGCACAGATTAGGTATGTTTTTAAAATCTATTTAGCAAACACTAGTATAACATGCTATGTCAGGTATTGTTTCCAAATGCATTACAAATATTAATTTACTTTACAGGCTTACAGATCTCAACTGTAATCCTGAAAGGCAGTAACTAGTCTTTCTCATGCCTGCTTTTTTTCATCATTCAGAATCTAAATTAGGGAGCTTTCCAGGGTTCTGCTGAAAAGTTAGTTACATCTCCCTTCACTCATGTTCCAGGCTGCATCTTCCCAAACTTCATTGGTCAGTATTCCTTCCTGAATCATTAGAGTGGGTATGTTTTAATATTTTTTTTTCAGAAACTGCTACTAGTTTTCTAGGGTGAATATTAATTTCCAACAACAATGATGACAATTCCAGTTCTACATCTTTGTCAACACTTGGTATTTTCAGATTGTAATTTTAGCCATTCTGCTAGATGTATATTGGTATATCATTATAATTTTAATTTGCATTTTTGCATTTCCTTACTGATTACTGATGTCAAGTACCTTTTTTGTGTTTTTTGGTCAGGCATTGTTATAAATGTTTTGTATTATTTATTGTTTATAGTTTATAAGAACAGATTGTCTTGAGGAAGATAATTTCCATTTCATAGATAAGGAAACTGAGGCACAGACAATTAAATAATTTGCTCCAGTTTGTACTTTTTCTAAGCAGTGCAGCTACACTTGGACCTGACATTGAGGGTCCAAAGGGAGTACTCTAAACTCCACACTCACTTTGCTGCTTTGGCTCCTCCCTCAGGGTATCATGCAGTCTTACACTTTGTCAATAGAGTGGCTGCTACTTCCATTTACCTGCAGAACTCCCAGTCATTAATTCCTTTAACAGTTATTTAATGAGCGAGAAAATTCTAGGTGCTACTTTAGGATGTATTGGGTTGGGTTGTAGAAGAAACTGGTACGGAATACAAACGATATTCTTGTCCTCTAGGAGCTTTGTTTCATTTTATTATTATTTTTTAGGAGCTTTAAACTCTAGTTCAAAACAGGTCAAGGTGTAGACTGATTTGATAAGTACAGTAACAGAGAGATGTGAACAAACTGCTGCCTGGGCTAGTCATGGAAGGCTTCCCAGAAGGAGAAAAAACTACACCCACACATGCTTGTAAACCATAAAGTTCACCCATTGTAAGAATATGATTAAATGATTTTCAGTAAATATTTGTGTTGGACAACCACCAACTACAGTACAGTTTTAAAACCTTGCCATTACCCCGGAAAGTTTCCTCAGGCCTATTTGCCTGCACCCATGCCCAGCCCCAGGCAACTACCGATCTGTTGTTCGTCTCTGTAGCTTTATATTTAAAATAAAATGTATATGTATACATATATATATATACACACACACACACACACACACACACACATATGTATATATAAATATATATACACACACATAAAACTATTGAAACTGTCATATATTTATATAAAATAATTTATATTCAATACATATTTATAAAAATATATATTCATTGTTTATGTATAATAAAATATATTAAAATATCTAATATGCATGTAAAATAACACCTTCATATGTAACATCTATTAAAAACTAGGCTTAGGAATAAGTCAGTATCATTGTTAAGTCTGGAGAAAGGAGGAGTATGTAATCACGGGTCCTGATGGGGCTTCTAAAGTGGTAATCGTGTTTGTCTTTACTAAACTGGGTAGTGGGTATATTGGTATTAGCTTCTTTTTCAGTCTTTCTTTAAATTATAGAAACACTTTACATTTTTAAATGGAAACATTTCATAAAAATATTGAAGGTGAATAAAAGGTCTGTTTTAATTAAAGTAAATTATAAAATAAAATACTGGAATCTGAACATAGTTTTATCAGATGCTATGCTGAAGGAATGCTAAATTTGTTACCTATTATCTTTATTGCCTATTAAACTACAATTAAAAACATGGGTATAAAATAAATTGTGTTTATTTCTGGAAGTGTTGTGTTGTTTTAATTTCTGTAAATGAAATCACACTGTAAGTAGGTGTTCTTCCAGAAATTGTTGATTTTACTTAAATTATCACGTTCAGTATAACTACCACTTATGTTCACTTTTGTGTAATGCAGTATTCTGGTGTAATTCATTCTACCTTTGATAATTTGAGTTTTATCTTGTTTTGTTTTTAAAACAGTGCTGTTATGAGCTTTCTTCTACATGTCTTGACACAGATATTTTCTGTTGTAAATGTCTTTTGCCAGTTTGCATGAGTGTATTTCTAAGAATAAAGTCACAGCATCCTAGGGTATGTGCATATTCCAACCTCACTGGGAGGTGCTAAACTTTTTTCAGATGACAGTGCCATGAGCAATGGTTTTGCATTGCTGTCACTCCACATCCTTGCCAGCATTTAACATGTCATCTCCGAGACCATTTGTCTTTTCTGTAAAATGTCTTCTTTTCTGCCCGTTTTTAGGTGGTTTTGCTTTGGTTTTTGAAAGTTCTATGTGTATTCTAAATACAAATACTCTTTTTTTATTCTAAATATCTTTTGCCAGTTTGTAGAAGTTGTATTTCACTCTTGGTGGTATCTTTTCATGAACAGAAATTCATAATATACTGTAGTTGAACTTACTAATCATCTCCCTTATGTTTTGTACTTTTTGTTTCTGCCCTCAGGAGAAGATTTTTTTTTTTCCCTTTCCTTTCACATTGACATTAGCAAGTTTTCTTCTGTGTTCCTCTGAGCAACAGATTTATTGCTTGTTCACTCTTAAACTGAGGTTATAGCCCAACTTTATGTAGGCGTTCCCCTTTAGAATCTCCTCACCCTGAGCAAACCTCAGATTCTATCTCCTGTCTTCATCACCCCACACAGATGTGAAATGGCCTTCAGAACAACCTAGAAGATTAAGAATCTAGGGAGACAGAACCTAAAGTCCATAGCTTTTGGCTTGAGAACCACACTTCTTTAGCCCTATCCAATGCAGGAAATGGAGGTTACGCTCTGCCTCTCAGCCCCCACAAAACTAAAAACTGGATACTGGGATCACAGTAACTTGTGCTGCAGAATAGTCAAATACCTTCAAAATAAAGCACAAATGCAGTCATCACGTATCTTTCCTAATAGTGATTGGGTATATCAGCTTGGTGGAAGCTAGGTATTTGTGGAACTTGAGCTTTAAGGGAATCTGGGACATTTGAACGTTAGTTTTCCAGCCACCAGCACGTAGGAAGGCATGCACCAGGGAATTTAGAGTGGAATTTGGAGGCAGTCTGCAATGCCCACATGGAGAAAAGGGGCTCCCACCCTACTCTTTAGGGCTGCAGCACATGAAATATAAGTAAGAACCAAAAGCAAAATAACAAAAACCCTAAAACCTTAAAAATAAAATGACAGAAATGCCCTCCATTTGTGAAGTCTTTGCCAGTGGCTAGGGATGGTGTCCTCAGTTTTAGTTTTTTAGCCAGCTTTGATGATACAGTTTGGACATGTTGAGT